ATATGCTGTAAGTCGGTGTGTAGAAATAAACCTCCAACGCGACTACCGCAATAAGAGCATCGCCATACTCAGCGATAGTCAGGCGGCACTTAAAGCGATCTCGGCTTTTGAGGTCAAATCGCTGCTAGTGCAGGAGTGTATAGAACGGCTGAACAGCCTATCAAGTTTCAAGCAGGAAATGAACTTGCTGACGAGTTGGCCCGCTCTGCAGCCTCTACAAACATGGTAGGACCAGAACCGTGCGTAGCGGTGGGTCCACATACCATTAAGTTGTTGCTCCGTAGAGAGGAAAGAGCAGGCAGGGAGAGACATTGGCAACCTCTTCAAGGCATGCGCCATGCCAAGTTGCTAATGGGGGGCTATAATTTCAGACGGTTTTAAAACCGTAATTAATCTCCCGAGGAACAAATTTCGACTTCTGGACGCGTTCTACACCGGACATTGCAGGCTTAACAAACATTTATTTAATATGGGCTTGGTCTCCTCTGCAAACTGCCGGTTCTGCGACATGGAGTCGGAAACCCCAGAACACCTACTAATGGACTGCACAGCTGTCTGCAGACGTAGAGTCAAGGCCCTGGGATCCATGTTTCCAAACAGGGATCGCATCGCCTCATTGGCGCCTAGCAGTATATTGGAATTCATCAAGACGCTAGGGCTAGATGAGTCGCTGTGACTTAGGGGAGGGCACAATAGACCATAGGTCGCGGTGCATACCTCAATCACTATCTAATCTAATCTAATCTACATGTACTACATACAAGAACACTGGGGAGTGGTTTCTTAACCATTTCAATTTACACATTTCATTTATTAATGCTAATTTGTTGGGGCCAAAAGGTAAGATTTAAATGCAACTATCATATGACGGGGTTTTCCGGAAATGGGAATGATCCCAAGGGTATATATGTGCTTACCCTGCAGGAAATTAAATGAACTATTATTATGCCCTGACCAAGGTATATTAAATTTGCCACGAAGTTTGTAACACTCGGAAACCTCGGAGACCGTATAAAATATATATATAAATGATCAGAATGACGAAATAGATTCGATTTAGCTATTCTCGTCTGTCTTACGGGATCAAGCAAATACAATAATTTTTTATTGCGCTGGAGCAGCGTTATTTGTAAGTATCTGATTTTTCTTAAATTATTAATTTAAGCGCGAAAACATTACTGGAATTATTTTAAACAGATAAAAGAATTAAAAACTTGATTTTGTTTATATTAAGAATATACTTCTATACAAGTATATATTTTTTTATTGCCGTGATATGTATATATCTTATAATTATATATTATAGCTCTGTGTAGATGTAGGTATATATATATACATACATACATAATGTATATAAGTATGTGCTCGTGGGTGCCGCAAGCTGGTTCAAGCTATACATATAACCGAAATGCAAATAAACAATCAACTGATTAAAGTTTGAATTTATACACAGATATAGTCACATATATTTTTATATACAATACATGAATTTTAATGCAAATACACACATACTTTCATACTCTGCATCGATGATCATGGGTCGCTGTTATTTTATTTGTTGCGCTTGTTATTAAGGTGTTATTATATATTCCGATTGTTGTTGTTACCGTTTTTTGCTTAAGTGTTTGAGATAATCAAAACGAGGATAATACATACATATGTAGTATATTGTAAATTATCGGTAAGTGAAAACAAAAAATCAAATAAAACGCATACGCCAACACATAAACATATAACTTATGCACCAATATATATATGTACATATGTATGCATGTATGTATATAATAAAAAAAAATTAAAAACAAGTAAGGAAGGGCTAAGTTCGGATGTAACCGAACATTTTATACTCTCGCAAAGTCAAATCGTATACTCGTTTGTGGATTGACCGATATTTTCGGTAGAAGGTCAGCTATAGGCACTGGGGTCCACATATTCATAACCTAGGGGCTTGAACAGTTTTGACTCCATTTAGACAATTTTTGGTCACAAGGTGGCATATTTCAAACGCATTATTCACGCAAAGTTTTACCCCGATACAATCATTTTGGCTTGATATGCATAGTTGAAAGTGACATAATCAGATGGAATTAAAAATGGTGTTATATGGGAAGTAGGCGTGGTTGTAATCCGATTTCGCCCATTTTCGCACTATACCATAAAGATATGAAAAAATGTCATGAATGTCACCCATTTTCACACTGTAGGTAGAGGTTCTAAAAACATTTGCTTCCAGTGAATTTTGTTATTATAGCATTAGCGGTTTAGGAGATATGCACATTAAACCTATTAGGGGCGAGACCACACCCACTTTAAAAAAAAATTTTAACTGCAGATGCCCCTCCCTATTGTGATCCTGTATACCAATAAGAGTCTTGTATCTTGTTGTGGAGCTTAGTTATGGCAATTTATTTGTTTTTGAATAATGGCGTTTTGTGGGCGTGGCAGTGGTCCGATTACGCCCATCTGCAATACCAACCGTCTCACGGTACCAAGAAACATGTCTACCAAGTTTCATAAAGATATCTCAATTTTTACTCCAGTTAGAGCTTGCACGGACGGACGGACGGACGGACAGACAGTCACCCGGATTTCATCTTGTCTCTTCATCCTGATCATTTATATATATACCTATAACCCTATATCTAACTCGATTAGTTTTAGGTGATACAAACAACCGTTAGGTGAACAAAACTATTATACTCTGTAGCAACAGGTTGCGAGAGTATAAAAATAACTGCCGCTAAGTAATATGAAGAACGACTGATACGTAGACACTCGTTTGAAGATAATCAAACAAACCATAAAAATAAAGCTCAACAGCAAAAGCAAAATAAACGTTTGAACAGTGGGAAAATTCAAATAACATATTTTGAACAAAAAAGCCACAAGCTCACACACATACACACATCCATATATCCACTAAAAATATATAACAATAGGCAAAAGAAAGAAGGTGAAAAATCGCTAAGAGAAGGAGGCAACAAACAGTTGTGAGTGTCCATAAGTCTTTAGTTTTTTTCTTATCATTATTATTACTGCCAGCCAGTGTGAACACTTTGTGTGCATAGACTTTGCTCCTCCGAACACCTGGTACACCCCTCACACCCTCCACTCTTACGTCTTCTCCTTTCTCTTCTGTCTATCAAAAAGCCAATACCAATCCAACCGGTCTCAATCGAGCCGACAAATAAAGAGACCGAGACCATTTTTATACAATCATTGTAGCTGATTTATATGTACAGTGTAGCAATATTGCCGCGAATGCGTAAAAAATTTCTGGCAAAAAGCTCCTAATTATAATTATAACTACATAAATGAATTTGAAAATTTCGCAAATATCAATATATTGTAATGAGATACGGAGGAAGAGTTACATTACCAGAATATGACAACTCATTTATCATGTCATAAGAGTACCGGTATCATTTAACTAGTGTTTTTTCTGCACATTTGTTACTGACTACAAACTAATCTTATAGTAACTGACTGTCGGTCTTGCAATGAGTGCTCTTGAAACACATCAACCGTTGTGATAAGGTACAAAATTCTGAGCACTCAAAAGAAAGTTAAGTTGATTGACTTTGTAGTCGACACCAATCTAGAAAATATCTACTTCTGTGTTCTATAACAATATCTAACGGATCAAAAGAATTAGAGTCTTCTCTGATGTCACCTCTAAATGAAATTGACAAATTATTAGACGATTATTTTCTCTTACAAACGATCAAATCTACTTTATTATCTCCATATGAGTAATATGTGGCATAGATCATAATTTAAATATATACAACAATTTATACAATGTAATAGAGTTTTTTTTTCAATCTTACTATGAAATGGTCAATTAGTAGGTGACAACAACACGACCATTTTGAAGTGATTACGTTGTTGAACCACGGCCTATGTATGTATGTACCATATAAATGATAGACGTATTATCAATAATTAATTAGGCCATTACACTGTACGCGGCGACGCTGGATGCACAACACCGGCACACGGTCTGCAGTTCACGGCAAAATTAACAACAACTTAAGCACCAGACGACAGCAGCAACAACGAAAACAACACTTAAGCATTGATACTCGTAGAAGCGAAGCATATAACGATGTGCCAGTATACTTGGGACACGAAATATGGTTGGGATTATGAAGCGGATGAGTGGTGTGCGGTGTGGTCTGTGACTGTGACGCACGCTGGAGTAACCGTACCTGAGAAAAAGGTGTGAGCGAATATAAAGTATAAAGTATAAGGTGGGAAAGGTGTAAAGGTGCGAGGGAAGTGTGGTGGAGGAGTAGCGGTCGTGTTGAGTTGGAGCGTTTCTCATGCAAACTACATACGCATATACATTTGTACGTAGGCACAAACCCTAAGCCATACAGGAAAAAATGGTGACAGATTAAAAATTGTGATTTTTTTAATGTCACATTTTACCTAGATTATTTAGCAATATATAGCAAATCTTAAAAAAGTTCACAGCCGTCGAGGCCGGAACACTACTTTATAAGTATAATAACATAATATATGTAGGTAATGTCAAATACTGCTATTAGAGGAAGATTTAAAGTTATAGAAGTTAGATATATTACATCTTTTAATATACGCTGGTTAGATGTATAGTTGTATGATTTCCCTAAATCATTTTTATTAATCAAGAATTTTTGTTTTGGAATCATGCATGGGTGCGAAGTATGTGGTATTGTTGATGTTGATGTAGCGGTTGTCTATACCCTATTTTGGTTCCAAGGATTGTTGGTATCGAAATCATCTAACGAGGGGCTTGGGAAACATGCTGTTTCGACGGGGTCGGACCCTAGGGATAGAATGTTAAATGAGTGGGGTTCCTTGGACATGCAAAGAGGTGGTAAGAGTCATACGAGGACTCTTTGTAAGTAGGACATATATTTGGTCTGTCGGGGTCAATTCTGGATAAGTAGGTATTTAACCTGCTTCAATATCTATAACGAAATTGGCAGTCTCCCTATAAAATTTCACGAATTTTTAAGATATATTCTGATGTCACTGCCTTTTGGGTTCTTTCTGAGTAAGAGTAACCATTTGTGCTGGTACAGTTACTTGACCATTGAATATGCTGGGGCAGATTTGCTGTAACATTTATCAAGCCCATTTGTCAAAACAGGAAATTCACTTTTTTCCGTTTGTAACAAATAAACAATAGTGTCATTTCGAGACAAATTATATTTAAAAATTTTGATTTAGGCCAGTCCAAAGTCTCTTTAGCTCATTGAGTTGGTGCCTTTTTGGTGAACGCATATGCGAACGATATGCAAATAAATTTCCTACAAGGGTAGAAAAGCAGTAAGAGGCCCCGGAAAAGGAAAACAGTCATAACACAACATGGCACAACGCGTCTTACATACATACAAATACATAAATAAACGTGTAGCAAAATGTATCTGCATATGTATGTATGTAAGTTCATCGTACATATACATATGTATACATATATTTGTGTTTGCTCTAACTGGTATCGGCATATCGACTTGATTTTTGAACTTCGCGGGGAGAAGCAACTCACTTTGACAAAACTTCAGCACATCAGCGCAAAACGGTGTGGCGCACAGAAGCGCAGCGTACAGTGCACTCGCAGCCATCCATCCGTACAGTTGGATGTCACCGACAACGACGGCAACGACAACCATTAGCTATACGTAAACTCCAAAAACAAAAAACATAAGAATAATTAAAAACAGAAAGAGGCAGAAGTTACGGTAGAAAAAGAAGCAGCAACAACAGATGTCATCAGAAAGACGACGTGTGATCTTGATCTTGATCTTCTTTGAAACATTGAATTCAGCACAGTAAATAACAACACATAAAGAGCAGCAACAACACAAGTCACAGTTGCCGACATCGGTGTTGCTGTCGCTATTACTGTTGCCATTGTTATTGATATAGTGCCTCCGCTGTTGCAACTACAGTTTTTGATGTGAACATCGCTCAGCCTCATTACGGATATATTTTCTCTTAACAATTACTTATGTCTTGCTTTTACATCTGAGTGTCTACATACGAAATTTACCATATATCGCACAATAATCGTAGCAAATGAAATTCGTGCCTAATTTTGATGTTGAAGCTAATCTTAGTGGATTTGAGTGTTATTGCGCCAGTGAAATGTTCTTATCTACAACATTTATGTAAATGCGGCAAAGTGAAATGTGCAAATAAACAATATAAACAAAATTGAGCTTAGCAAAGTCTAATTAAATAATAAAACTGCGGTGGAGCTAGCCAATAAAAAAGAAATAAAAAGTAAATAAATACACAAAAAAATAAATTATACTGACTTGCAAATACATACATATAAAAGTTGAGTCATAAAATATAGATTAAGAAAGCGAACCAACTTTTTAGTACCAAAACGACTTACATATACTCATATACATAGTAACACAATGACGGCGCATGAGCAACCGATTAGCTACTTGGACAGCATCCTGAACGAGGAGGAATCACGCTGTGAATACAGTCATCAGTGGCGCAATTTCACAATCTCACGTTCGGGCCGTTTCAAGTCGAAGAATCGCAAACGCGACGTTGTCGATGGCAAACTCTTCGATGCGGGTAATGCGCCCAATGCGATGTCGGCAGCGTCCAAGATGCCGTCTGCAGCAGTTGCGGGCCATAGTCGTGTCATGGCATCCGCTACCATGAATCCACACTACAAGCAGGAGCCGGATAAGGTAGGACATCAAAATTATATAAATGCTACTATATACTTGTATATATATATATATCTATTTGTAAAAAGTAAAGATATATGTACATATACGGAAAAACATGGGCTGCATATATAGTATAATATATGCATTTACATATGTATATACTTCATATTTATATGTACTAAGTACATGCATATGATGTATATATGTTTATGCAGATATTGCTATAGGTGTATTTAAACTCTTTTTTTCTACCAATGAAGGTACTACATAAGCATACGAGTATGTTCATATGTACATACATATGTAGTATATACAAACATTTTGCGCTTTGTAGGCAATTGTAGATTTGTATGGCAACTTCGCTCAAATTCACGACATTTATTGTTTACATGTTGTTGCTGCTGCAGCGCCTTTAACTTATGATATTGTTGTTGTTGCTATTGTTGAGCCCATGCAACAACATTTCAGTTGCTGCAACAATTGCGGCCACATCCGCCGCGAAGTCGGCAAAGTGTGTCGCAAGTCAGCTGTTGGTTGGGCTTTCTGGTTGGCTGACTAACTGCTTAACGCCGTACATAATATATGTATTTACATTTTGTTTGTATATGCGTACGTACGGTTGTTTAGCTAGTAGTTTGACTTATTTTATAACTTAACGTTGGCCTTTTGCTGTTTTTTGCTTATCAATTTTTCAGTGTTCATTTTTGCTTCCATTTTTCTCTTCGGTGGCGCACAAACCAAACAAATTTATACATATGTATGTATGTATGTAAGTATAAATGTATGTATATATACATACATAGATGTGAGTATTTTGGTGTGTGCGTGCTTTTTATAAGCTACTTTTAACTTTAATTTGCTCAGCAGAATATCGCTCATTTGCTAAAAATAATTTCTGCAAAACGTGCAAATATACTTATAAACAAGTAAGGTAGTTCTAAGTTCGGGTGTAACCGAACATTTTACATTCTCGTAACTTGCAAGGATCCAAGCCCGGGAAATTACTTCAGGTGTTGGCAAAATTTCATATTAAAGGAAGTATTGATCCGATTCAACCCATTTTTGACATAAGGACACACTATTATAGAGAGTTTCATTTATTTATTTTATTATATGAATTTCAATTGACCGATACTTAAAAAGTTAACTATAGGTACTGGGGTCCACATATTCAGTACCTAGATGCTTGAACAGTTTTGGTTTAACTTAGACAATTTTTGGTCACAAGATGGCATACTTTAAAGGCATTATTGGCGCAAGATTTTATCCCGATACATTAATTTTTGCTTAATTTGTAGAAAGTGAAAGAATCAGATGAAATTTAAAATAGTGTTATATGGGAAATAAGCGTGGTTGTAATCTGATGTCACCCATTTTCGCAGTATAACATAGAAATGTGAGAAGAATGTTAGGTACCGAATTTGGTTAAAATCGGTTAAACAGATCCCAAGATATAGGTTTTCACCCAAAAGTGGGCGGTGCCCACTGTCTAATTTTGAACGCGGTTCCCATAAAATCATCTCATACCATCCTAGAGATAAAATTTAATGTCTCTGTCGTATTTAGTGCTTGATGTATCGCGCTTTTAGTAGTTTTTAACAGTACCGTTATATGGAAAGTGGGCGGGGTTGTCACTGGATGTCACCGATTTTCACACTGTAGGTAGAGGTTCTAAAAACATTTGTTCCCAGTGAATTTAGTTATTACAGCTTTAGCGGTTTAGGAGATATATCCAATATCCAATAACAGTCTTGTATCTTATTGTGGAGCATAGTTATGGCAATTTATTTGTTTTTGATTAATGGTCCGATTACGTCCATCTGCAATAACAACCGTCTTACGGTACCAAGAAACATGTGTAGTTTCATAAAGATATCTCAATTTTTACTCAAGTTACATGTGTAGTTTCATAAAGATATCTCAATTTTTACTCAAGTTACAGCTTGCACAGACGGACGGACGGGCGGACGGACAGACAGTCACCCGGATTTCAACTCGTCTCTTCATCCTGATCATTTATATATACATAACCCTATATCTAACTCGATTAGTTTTAGGTGATACAAGCAACCGTTAGGTGAACAAATCTATTACACTCTATAGGAACATGTTGCGAGAGTATAACAAACAATCACTTGTCCGAATTGCTGTTTACACATATGTACATACATATGTATGTATGTCCACAGGCACGCACCTACTGACACTATATATTCCTACATGCATATGTATGGTATCTTATCAGCAATCAGTTAGTTGGTAGATAAATACAAAATATAATGCGATTTTTTTCATAAATCATACAAACGCTCCTTCAATATGAACTCATAAAGACCCACACACTAATATGCATTAATCAATTCGCAAAAGGCGAAAGCTTCCACCCACTAAATATAAAGCAATACAGCCTAATTTATGTACAATACATGACTTAAATAAAACTTTTTGCGTCTGAAATTAATTTGCACACTTACTTCAAATGAATCGAAAGCGAAAATGAGTCCAACAAGAATAATTCTTGTACACACGGGTATATACAAACACATACATATAGGCATACGCGTCTACGTATGTTGGTATTCGTTAAGGTACAATAAGTGACAACGAAAACGGAAGTCCCCTGAAGTTGTTGTGAAACCTTTTAACATTTACAATGAAAAATCGCCTGTCACACACACACACACATATGATAATACATATGGGTATTTGCGTTCATCCGCGTTTATTTTTATACGGGCAAGTATAAGAAGTCTCTCACTGCTTCTGCAAAAAACTGATTGAAGTTAATTTGTTAAGGGTTTCGCAATTTTATAGCCGCCATATAAGATTGTTCGTGTGTATGTGTACTAATATTAAATAACTTTTTTTTCAATGCGGTATACCAACAAACGGTCCAAAATATTGGGTTGTGGTTTCTGGCATTTCAAAATAGTAGGTGCTCCGTACCCATAGTCAAATGATCGAAGAACACTGGGAATAACAATTCTAATCTCTTGAGTAATGAAGCTTCGGAATATTCCAAAAACCAATTTACCATTTTAAAATGGGTGAAAAACCTTGAGGTCTTTGATTTTTAATCTCACCTTTTATAAAGTGAACTAGTATGTGGATATAAAGTAGCTACTAATGGTAGCAATTGAAAAAAAATCTTTGAAACTTTGATTCTTTAGCATGCAACACATATGCTCGAAGTACAGTTGTCAGCTTAAGTCAATTTGTATGCACACCCTAAATAATGCAAAAAAAAGTTAGCGAGGTAAAATTTTAAGAATGAACATTCCCTGAGTTTTTGAGATATCGATCTGAAATTTTGCACACGTCCTTTTCTCACCAAGAAGCTGCTCATTTGTCGGAACCGCCGATATCGGACAACTATACCATCAATCAATCTCCGAATATATTTTTCCGATCAGACCACTATATACTGCCACCGTATAGCTGCCAACCTGATCGATCGAAATCAATATAAAGACCTTTTTATGATGTAAAAAAAAACATGTGAAGGGTATTATAGCAGCGGTGCAGCTGTAGTTAACGTTTTTTCTTAATATTATTATCATTGGTGGAATCATAAACATTCTTGAACTCCTGGTCCATTACTTCGGGTTTTAAATTTGACGCTTTCCCAGTTTAAATGATGATTGAGTTTTAAGCTTTTGTCCCTCTTCGAAATAATTTTTTTTACGCTGCACGTTGTCGTCCGATCGGGTGAACAATAAAAAACAATTTATATAAATGATATGTATGTGTATATAGGAACACGATAGAGAACTCTATAACTCTCTTAAAGAGATCTTCATATGAAAAATCGACCATCTGTTTCTTCATTGTGAATATCGAATGCATTGTAGACTTCCGCCTTTTATGGTACACTAAATTTCAATTGGCACGCACACTTCCATCCGGAAATATTTTCCATAGCAGTAGAGTGCACTCTATCCGCTTGTAATCTCTACTTCTTCTCGGGTAATGAAACAGGAATCGGTGTTCGATTTATCAACATTTCTGAATATTTCACTGGTGTCATCATTAAGAAGATTGGAGAATTGTCAGTCGCCAGATCTTATTTTCATATTCACTATATTTATCACCTGATCTTGATGGTTCCTTTACACGAATACTATAAAGGAACTGGGAAATTTTTAAACTTTTATAATGCACCAGACATTACCAGATCTACAACGATACATGATAACGATATAATGATATATTACAACGATATGCCTCAAAACTCTATTCTTAGTAATAATCCCACTGATCCAAAATAATTATATACTTAAAATCCGTTGAGCATTCGGTAAATTTTTCTCTGCTGGAAAGAAATAGGTTGGTCCAATCTGCTCATAAGCCTCATGTTCTTAGTCAGATTCTCATAAAATATGTATTAGTATTCGTAAATCGACGGGATGTTTGAAGGAGAATGTCAAGCATAATACACATATAATGATTTTATTCTGTTATTATAAATGTATAATGTACGCATACGTCGTAAGATTTCCTTAACAGACCCCTCTATAAGTACATATCTACTTAATATAATAAATATTATATTAATTAATGAGCTAAATTAAAAAGTATATCAAAATTCAACAATTCACATTCGCAATATCAAAATGAATAATAAATATTGCAATAATAAACTGCGCAAAAACAAAGCTTGCTGACGTCGGCGAAGTTATTAGGGCATACAATTAAAATCAGATTACCAACGATTTTGCAAGCTTTAATTAGTTGCCGGTTGTATATTGCTACACCAACATATAGAGGTGTATTAATCGTAAATGTTAGCTCCACATTGCTGTTAAAGTAGAATGGGGAGAAGCCGAGGTGTGAAAATACTTAAGGTTAAATCGGATGTTAAATTTTAAAATCATCTACAATAAAATTGCTGAGAAATCGAGCATATGTAAAGTAAAAATACAATAACTATCAATATTCATTAATTTTTTCATTTCCTTATATTTTTTTCGGATAATGTAGGATGAGGTTTCTTTTAACCGCAAAGGAGTTAGTTCGAATATTATTTTATTTAAAATGAAAATTGTAATTAATTCAAGGATGTTTTATAATAAATAGACAAAAATATGGAGTAAAGAAATTATGCATTTTTAATACTTAAAGATTAGGAAATTCCTGTTATAAATTTGGCCTTGAAAATATTAGAAGTGGGTATTCAATACATTCTGGTAGATGAGATAATTCGACTTAAGTATTTCTTTGAAAATATTAATAGTGGGTATTATGCATATTGTTCTACCACATTCATGGTAATTCATTGCAAGCAAAATGTGAGACCATCATCCCAACATACAAATGAGATATGCAACATACTCTAAGTGTTGCGAAAAACTCGATTTAAGTTGCTGGACTCTTTTTGCTCGTGGGAATGCACAGAGCGACACCAAAAGAGAATTTGGCGATAATGAGCACATGGGGGCTCTATGTGAACGTAGTATATAGGAACTGTAAACTGAATAGATATACACAAGAACATATTTAGGCATCATAAATTTGTATACTTGAGAAACCCATATCAAATAACATACATATACAATATAACATGAACAATTTCTTCGGAAATTGCATTATTGGCTTAATTAATAATCCATGCGCAATTTTGTGAAGATATCTCGTCAAATAAAAGAGTTTCCCATTCAAGTACTTGATTCCAATCGTTTAGTTTGTATGGCAGCTATATACTATAGTGGTTCCGACAAATGAGCAGCTTCTTAAGGACAGGTGCAAAATTTTAGATCGATAGCTTAAAAACTGAACAGATGGACATGGCTAAATCAACTCAGCTCATCATGCTGATCATTTATGTATATATTTCATAGGGTCTTCGACGTTTCCTTTTGGGTGTTACAAACTTCGTGGCAAACTTAATATACGCTGTTCAGTGTATAAAAACCACCGCATGTGGTGTGCAATACATACAAACATAAACACATACATTTACATTTAATTAGATAAGTAAAATTTGTAAATAATATATTAGGTCAAGTAAAAAGTTCGTTCGGTTTTTATCTAAGAGATGGCGTTATTGTCCATAGTACTAGTGTTACGTGTCGCATCATGTCATACTATATGGCGCTAAAAACTCGGGAAGCGGCCCAGACGGGGGCCAAGGCCGGATTGACGGCCAGTAAGGTTATGCTGTGTGTTTGGTGGGATTGGCAAGGAATCATCTACTACGAGCTGCTCCCCTATGACCAAACGCTCAATTCGGCCCTCTACTGCCAACAACTGGACCGCTTGAAGAAAGCACTCATCCAGAAGAGGCCATCTAATATAAATATATTGACCAATATGTAACATATCTTAGCAAAATTAACCGAATGAATTGAAATATTGTAGTTTAATGTGGAAAATATGTGAAATTCGTCTACGAAGTACTTCAACTCCCCTATATAACATATGTTAACATTCTAACAAACCTTATGCCGAGTATTTCAGTCAGTGTGTGAGTTATATATTCATAAAATTGCTTAAAAATATTTTGTCGGTATACCTAAGCAATGTCAAAGTTTAATCCAACAAACCCAAACCTTTATCTGCCCCTGCATACGCTGTATAGTGATTTCCGAATTTCTACTTGACCTTAAACCATTTAGGTTGGTCAAAATATGTGATATTTTAATGAAATTAATTGGAAAAGATTTCTTAGAAATTATAAACTAATATTAATGATTTAGTGCTGAATATGAATGGAGTAGATCTTGGTCTAAACCTAAAATCGCTAACATAATGATTTTGGACCCTCTGGTTGACGATTTTATTATCATTTATTTATTTCATTTTTGTTGACGGGAAGCAAAATATAGTAATACAACTAAGTGAGTCTACATAGGGCCAATAATATACCATATCTTTATAAAATACCAAGGTTTTGCTGTATGTTTGGTGGGATTGGTAAGGAATCATATACTACGAGCTGCTCCCTTATGGCCAGACGCTTAATTCTACCATCTACTGCCAACAGACCGCACTCATCCAGTAGAGGCCACCTGTGATCAACAGAGGCCGAATTGTGCTCCATCAGGACAACGCCAGGCCAACTACGTCTTTGGTGACGCGCTTAATGGTGAGAAGTTGGCCTCAAGAGAGGCCTGTGAAAATTGGCTCCCCGAGTTTTTCGCCAATAGGGACACAGCCTTCTACGAGAGAGGTATAATGAAGTTGGCATCTCGTTGGCAACAAGAAGAAAACGGCGCATATTTGACTTAAATCGGACAAATGTACACAAAGTTATCATCTTTTGAAAAATCAATAAAAAAAAACCGAACGAACTTTTTACTTGACCAATATAAGGACAAGCAAGTTTATATATATATTTAGAATGAAATACTTCTCAATCTATGACGTGTCTATCAATTTTAGTCCGTCCCCCACTCGTCATCATTTGGTCTTACAAACCAAACATTTTATCTTACAAACCAAATAAACAAAGTATCAAATATGTTGATAATATTTAAGATATTTTGTCAAACTAAAAAGTTTTCTAAACAAAGGCCACATTCTTTAGTAACATTGTCAGTTTTTTTTAGGTTAGTCTTTATTGTATCCAGTAGATAAGTATTTTCCTACAGGTAATATTAGTCTAGAACCCTTTGTGAATCCGGTTCTTGTAGCTTTGAACCCGGTTCGATTTAACAAATATTAAACTGTACACTAGCACTCATAAGTACATACATACATATTTATATCTAAATCTCTAGTAAATCAAGGTATTTATTAATTTCTTTGCCACATGCAATAGGCATTTCTTCGATAACATTAAATAAAAAGTTTTTGTAAATATTAAAACAAACAAAGGAAGTTTTCGAAGTTTTTAATTTCTTTCTTTTGCACTGTGGTAATCAAACTTGTCAAAAGGTTTCTTGATAAATTTAAATGATAATGGAAAATAGCACATACATATGTATATATATGTATGTATTTCATAAAATACTTTTATATACGATATAGTTTGCACACTAGGATTATGCTAGTAATATTTCAAAAAATAAAACTTATATGTGGATCGAGTGGACCTTGGATGGTCGTAAAGATAAACAATTATTTACTTTGAAAATATTTATACAAGTATCATTATCACAATAATTATATAAAATTAAATTGTTCTTGCTAGTTTTCCGTTTCCTTGCATTTTGGTCTTTGAGAGAGCAACTTCCCAATTTTGACACACTTCTTCTTCCTCTTTAGCAGTCTACTGTCTAGAATAAAATATTATAAATACTGCATATTATTTATAATCTTTATGCTTAACTGCATAGCCTTGAAATCTGCACTCTTATGTATGCGTGTGTGTTTTAAGTAGTCTCATCCATCATTTATTTAATACACTAATAAAAATAAGCTCTGTTGTTACAAATGATTGTGAATTATTTAAATATAATGTGTAATACATTTAAAGTTCCCATGTGGATGGGCCGTTATCTGAAATAGTATAAATATTACAATAGTTTCGTGGAATTAGGTATATATTGACTATGCATCTTTGAGTTGTTGATGATAATGATAATCCTTGACAGTGATGTAAAATTGTTCGACTACTTCAAAGAGGGGACTAGACCCCAAATAATAAACATGACAGAACGAAATATACTGATTGTGAAGAAATATTCTTATATGTATATTTGGGTTTGTAACAATATTCATGAGGTTTGCCGTATTGTATGCCGTAACCAATATTCTGCACATGCCTTGGAAAGCAACGTAAACATAACTATAATTTTTTGTTTCAATCAAATAGTTTGTCGAATATTAAGCCTGAGGATATGAAGGAAACCTAATAAATTGAAATAATACGGCTAAGAAGTACTTCCAGTCGATGCAGAACACCTTCACTGGAATACAGTTTACATCAGAACAAGGACGGCCAGGCCGGTGCAGGAAAATTACACAGCTTCATATCGTCAATACTTTGAATAATACTATTGTACATATTTTTCTTAAACCTGTACACAATTACTTATTTCAGTAAGATATTTATTGATTTATTTTTAACAAAATTATGTTTCATAATTTTAAAGATCCATTTTAAACAAAATAATTGGTATAAAACGAGAGTTCGACACTTGTAAGAGCCAGCCAATGAGCTGTGAACTTGCTTTTTTTTATATAGGTCACATTGACGAGCTATCCACTATACCAGAGAATGAATTCATTAACATTCTCTGGTACAGGTTTCAAAAGTTAAAAAGAAACATCTTAACATTTGAGCTCTAAATATAAATATTCCTAACTTTACCATTCATAACCTTTCAATTGCCATATATTATATGTAAGTATTTAAATGACATGGGGACATTTTTTTACTAATTTTTATAGTTTAACATTGACAAGAAATTGAGCGCTATTGAAGTTTTGAGCCTGTTTGTTAGTTGAAAAAACTGACTAGAACCATGGATTCAATTATGGTATATAAGGTTGTGTCGATAGCCGAAAAACAACAATTTTTCAAAAGTAATTTCATCATGTCAAAAGCAGCCGTTTTTCTTTGTACTTTGTATGATTCAATAACAAATTTTGCAAAGATTTCATTTCATTCCAATGTAAATAGTTTCTTTGACATTATGGATACAAACATTTCTTTCGTAAAAGGAAGCACGCTCCGTTCGCCACAACCTTATATAATTGAATCATGACTAGAACTTACACATCCTACTATATATGTAGACGAAACGATAATATCCGGGAACTTTTATCTTCGCATATTATATATATTATATATACTAGGTCATGGAATTCCTCTGGTGGTTGTGAGAGTTTCGAATTATAGAAGTTAATCAGTAGCGGGGAGAGGACACTGCCCTGCCGAACCTCCTGTTTAATTCTTCTCAGTTTGGAGTTTTGACATCGAACCAGTACGGATGAATTCCGACTGCTCAGATAGTTCATAGTCCACCTTTTCAACCCTGGAGGGAGCGTGGATTGTTCGATGTCCTCAAGTAGCCTTTTGTGATGACTGTGTCAAAAGCTTTTGACAAGCCCAACGCTACGAGCATGGTCCTCTCGCAGAGTGGCTTTTGGTTTAGGCCATGAACTTTCTGGGCGTTTATGTCGCTAAGTGCTGTGGTGGTGCTGTGCACTTTCTGGAATGCTGGAAATGGTCTACTAGGCTCAGGTGGTGAGTGAATGTCGGGAGTAGCATGGAATCAAGTGTCTTCACTACTGGTGAAAGGAGATTTATCGGACGATAAGACTCCCCTTTGTTGGCGGGTTTCCCAGGTTTCAGTAGTGGGACCACTCTTCTTACTTTCCACACATCGGGTATTTGAAGAGTGGTCAGCGACTGGTTGAGGACCTTCGTGAGATAGTTTACTCATGTCGAGCCTAGTTGTTTTAGCATCAGCATGCTTATTCTGTCGGGGCCTATTAATTTGGACGATTTGGCCTTGTTGATGGCACTCTGAACCTCCCCATCGGAGAAAGTAGGTGGAGCGCGGTGTTTTAGCATTTTGCGCAGCTGTCGGGTAACACATCGTTTGGCCTTGTCTGTCGAAGGGTGCAGTGTAAATTGCCTGGTAAAATAGTTCGCGCACTTCTTCGGGTCCGAGGAGGCATAGCCGTTGAATTCAATTTCAATTCGGTCGTCATTTTTCCTCGAACTAGACAAGGCCTTGACAGTAATCCAAAGCTTACTCACACCGGTAGAGAGGTTGCAGGACTTCAAACGATGACGTACGTAGGAATTGGTAGTGCGGCGAAGGTGCTCTCAGTAGGTTTTGTGAAGCCGATCCAGCTAGCTTTGTAAAAGTTAACACAGAAATAAAGTCGGGAGGTTTCTCGATCGAGATAATTATAGGCAGATGGTCTAATGCGAGAGTTAGCATAGATCGCCAGGTTATGCTATTTATCAGATCACCGCTAGCGATGGTAATATCTGACGAGCTATTACAAGTGCCCATAATTCTAGCGGGGGCTTCGTCATTCATTATGCGGAATGTCGAATCGTCAATCTGTTCCGCCAGCTCCATCTCCTTACGATCGTTTGACAAACGGTTTTCACCACGAAGTAGCGCACATATGTTCGAGTAATATCCTGTTGGGCAACATGTAGCTGGGAGGATGTATATATTAAATATCTCGAGCTCGACATGGCCTGACCGGACAGCTATACCCTGACATTCAAGCGTAGTGACCCTGCGGTCGATGTCAACATCGATTAGACGATTGCACGGTGTTTTGCAGTATGAAGGCTAGGCCTCCACAATTATCTCGCTCACAGTCCTTACGTAAAACGTTGAAACCTGCACAACTCAGAAGAGATCCCGGCTCATAAATGCAACTATCTCAACGATCTTACTCTGTCCGTTGCAGTTAAAGCGGTCGATACAGCCAATATACATATGTATATCTGTTCGGTAGTATAAGTTAACATTAACATTAATATAACTACATTATTAACAAACTACCGCGTATTTGGTTTTATAAAGAAAATCGTAATCCGAACTATACGATGAATTTAAAACTCCTTACAAGTAATCCTGTAATTTAGAAGAATGCTGTCGAGTTGACAGTCGGATAAAAATTAGGGTCGGACTATCGCATCGTGTATTTGATGTTCAGTTTCAACCAAACTTAGTTTTTACTTTCCCGATAATATATACAAACATGCATCCATTAACTAATATATTTTTAATACTTCTTATAATTTGATTATCTTTATTTCCAGAATGCTTTTCGTCAACCTTCAGCAATGTCAAGCAAACTTTTTTCATCGCAATCCATGGCATCAACCTCCGCCAGCTCAAGTTCAAGAAATGCGACGATGCGTGACAAAGCTGAGAGCTATAAAAGTTACTACGAAACGAATTTATAAATGCCACCTGCATATAATACGCAAATTATATATTTGTTTGCGTATAATTAATTTTTTAATTAAACTTAATTGTGAAAGGTAAATGAAAGCGCTATTATTTTATACATATTTAACTTTTAACATTTTATTTTATTTTTATGTGGAAAAATTAAATTCACAAAATTAACTTTTGTTTAGGTAAAGCGCTTAGTTAGTCCTTAAGTAAAGCTACATATTTAAATACAAAATTAGCTCTTTCTTTAAGCATTCGATTGTTTTCATTATTCAAAGGATTCCTTTTTTCACTAGTTTTAACTATGTGCCAACGTTTCTAATAGAAAGAGTTATAAGAGTTAATATATTGTTTTAACAGCTCAATCGACAAAAGCGGAAATCGTGAAACTAGTGACATAAATTCTATTTTGTTATTAAATTAAAGAGCAAATTCATTTGGAACTAGAGCTTAATACTTGCTCAAACACATAGTTTTTGGAAAAGAATTATATTTAATGCAGATTTCAATATACTTAGAAATAAATATGTATTTGCCAATAAAAATGAATTCATATTTTTTTGTCCTTTGAATATATGTACATTTAAAACTGTATGTATATAAATTATGTATCGTAAAGTATTAAATCGTGATAGTTACAAACTTTTTAGACAGTAAGTAATTTGTGTTTAGAAAAATATTAAATTGATGTAAACACAGTAATGTAAGCAAAATTTATTACATAAAATTATAAACCATTATAGACCAAATAAAAATAAAAAAAAAGCCGCCGACGGAGGTGGCGTAAAAAGTTTACATAAAAATGAGTAGAAGATTCGTGTCTTATTCGCTGTTGAACTAAACAATGGAAGAATTGACAGAATTGATTTACCAACTTTAATTGAAATTCAGTACACTTCATACATTAGCTTCTTGCAATATAAAAATATCACGCGTTGTCACTGTTAAGCGTCACATCGTCGGTTTCCACTATATCACGCTTCTCAATGTAGCTGACATCGAGAAGACAGAATTTGGCACGACACATGGGGCAGGTACATTTCTGTTCAAGCCATACTTCCCGGTCATGTTCACTCTGACGTGCAGCAAACCAACGCGCAAGACAATCAACGCACCACATGGGTCGGCAATAGCAATTTGTACAAGTACTCTCCGCTGACAGTGGACGTCCATCACGATCAACATCTTCACATTGTTTATGAATTTTTATATTTGGCTCAGCAATCATACAAGCGAAGCACTTTTCTGCTATCCTATCCGCTTTGTAAATTGGATTTTTCGCAACTTGTTCTTTAAAAACGTCTATAAAACGATCTATCACGTTACGATGGAATTGTATGTTCGATGGTATGGCAATAGGTCGACTAATTCGCTCCTCCAGATTGCGAAATTCTAAAGCATTGATGCGTATGTGAAATTCAGCCACTTTTTGTCGATTTGGTTTCACTATTATGCTCACCATTTGTAAGGTGTCGTTAGTGTCTTGTGAAACGTTGTAAGTCTCTGTCTAGAGAAATTGCTTAATGTTAGTGCTATTTTATAAGTAGCAGTAATTACGGTATATTTTGATAATGCAGTTTTTGAACTGTTACAGGATTCACTTACTTTAGCTACACTGAGCGAAGTATCACTTTGGTGCGCAAAATGCACATTATATAGCGAAGTTTTAATTATCCAGTTTTCTGTTGCAATAACTGTCGATATAGAATTTAGCTTCTTTTTATAAATGTCGAGTCTGTTAATCATATACTATTTGTTAAATTCATTTTTATTTATGGTTAGACTATTGAACAAATTATTTTAATTCATTTAACATACCTTCGAAATTCAGTGCTTATATCGCTCGCAATAGTGTGATAACTATCTGGCACATTGGAGAATTTCAATAATGTCTGGCTGATTGGATGACGCCGCCAGTTTCGTTGCTGCCAATTGAATATTAATGCTGGTACTGCCAAGACTACCATTAAGCTAAAACGTTGTGCGATTTTCCATGTGAGTGTCTTAAATGCAACAGCTTCTTGTGGCATTGGAAAATCCGGGTCCAAATCTACATGTTCAGACAGTTCGCGTTCCACGAATACAGAGAACTTCAATTTATGTATGAGAAAATACATTGCAGGCAAGCAACTGTGCACAAATAAATTTAATGATGTACGACGCTGGTGATAGTGTACGAAATTGATGCTTTCATCACCCAATAGTTTGCTGAAAATTTCTTCAATGGTTAGACCCAGACGCTGAAACTCCTCTGGTGGATATATAATACACATACATAATAAGAGGTAGAACAAATTGAAGAGCAGTTCAGACTCGTCCATTTGATGAAAAATCGTGAAAAACGTATGGAAAACAATAGAAGATATATTTTTATTTCTTAAAAATTCGCTTTTACAAATTTTATTTTAGTTATCGCTTTCTTTATATATGTATGTATTTCTTTCCTGTGATGTCTCAATTCAAACTTCTTTGTTTTGTTTTTATATTTTTAGAATTTATTGCTCTAGGGCTGCATTTTTGTGTACGTAAAATATAGTCGATATTTAAAAACGATTGACGAAAATTCGAAGCTTCTGCCAGAGAACGTATATATGAAATATGTTCTCTGCTTCTGCTATCAGATCTAATCAGAGAACGTATATCCAGAGAACTTAAAACAATTCATTCTCTTCAATATTCGCCGTTTGGTTATGTTAAGAGAGCGTATGTTTACAGATTCGCTGTTATAAAAGCGAGAAATGTTATTTGTTTCTCGTGCATGTGTGGTGAACTCCTTGATAAATTCCTACAAATTGTTCGCTGTCGAACCTGCACCTTCTCGTTCATTTAAGTTCTCTGCATGAACCATTGTATAAGCCTACAAGTAGCCAAAGAATCAGCTGTTTTCCTATGTGTGTGAAACAGCCGTGATCACCTGATCGAATATGCCTTTTTTTGACACAGAGTTTTAAATAAAAGGTTGTAGTGTAACAATTTGCACTTAAAATGGAAATATCTGGAAAACTATACGTTTCCGGCGCCAATAGTTATATATATTCGTGATCTGGAGAATCTCCTCTATCCAACCATACCCCTCTTAACCCTGAAATCGTGGGATGCTAAACTAAAGTTTTCCCATTGCTATTCCTCACCACCTCTGAGGTTGCAATATAGGCGCGTTACAGACCTTTTTTGGGTGTTTGTTTCCCCAAGACTAAACCGGTAAACTAAGAATTTAAATATTCAACAGACAAAGAATTTTTACTCACAAAAACATAAACATATAAGTTAAAAAAGATAAAATTGGAAACATTTAATAATATTTCAATACAATAAATAATAATTTAAATAATACTATGTAAATTTAATCTTTAGAAATTAAAACAACCGAAAAATATTTGAATATGGAATAAAAACATTCTTAAAGTTATTAATTTTAAAACATAACACGGCAACACACTAGAGCAGATTTTTGTCATTTGAACGTTTTAGTAGTAAAATATTGGTTGGCAACCCGTACAAAGTGTGCTTTTAGCAGGGAACGTAAAATATATATATATAAATATATATGATATACGTTCTCTGCTTTTAGTAGCATAATATTTGTTGGCAACCCGTACCAAGTGTGATTTTAGTAGTAGAATTTTCGAGGCAACCCGTACCAAGTGGGATATTTTTTCGTGTGATTAGTGAAAATCTTAGGATTGGCTACTTGTAGATTTATACAATGGCATGAACCTTCTCTATGATATACGTTCTCCGGTGGTAGTTTATTGTTTTGCTTGCCATCTGTTCAGTAGCTCATGAACTCGTGGTTTTTTTTGGCAGCACTGAAAGTTCATGAGCTCTCTCAGAAGGCAAAGAGAGGAGTTTCGGATCATTTATCTATACTCAAGAGCAGGGATCAGGGATCAAAATTAGCGTTTTTTATAACATTTTCCATTGTAGCCAGATCGGACACAATAATAATTTTGGGAATTTTAATTAAAATACCCAATATTTATTAAAATTAAATATTATTATACATGTATCCGTTAAACATATGCAGCAACTATTTAAACCCTTTTTTGTTATTTTGTAATATATTAAAACAATTGATTTTTGAACTTTTAATGCTTAATAAAAAAAATATATGTATTGACTCTCAATTGATAAATGATTTTTATAATTTTCAATCGAAAATTAATACAACTAAGCATTTTTCAATTTTTGTTAGTGATCTTCAACAGCAGCAACAAATCTCTCTGTTCACATATTTCTCTGTAGGTTTTCAATCTGGTCGTCCCTATTTTTCCAATTGATAAACGTCAGACCTCCTGAACTTTGACAGTTGCCTGAGTTCAGGAGGTTTTGACGTTGAGTTGGGCATCTCTTTATCTCTGCTCAAGAGTAAGTTATACTTGTAGGTAGGCGATTTATCGAGAAATCCGTTACAATTGGTGTCAGAAGTGGGATTGTCAAATAAATTCCCAAAGAGAGAATTCCTTTAAAATGGCAAATTTTAACGATTTGAAAATTGCACAACTGTCCAAATTACAATCACAGTTACAAGAGGCCATGGAAGCTGAAAACATTAATGTTGACGAATATGTGTTTCAATTGGAATTAAAAGAAGAGACTACGAAGATAGAAGGAAAGGAAGAGCCTCAATGCTCGTCAAAGATTGTAGGCATGAACATGACTTTTGCTGCAATATCGCAGATGTCAACGCAAATATCGACACAGGGAAAAGAGCAGGAAAAAAATGGTCCTCACAGTCAGAAGGGCAAGAAACTTGTATACCAGCATAAGTGTCCTTACAGTTGGATGAGCAGGAAGCGTGTATACCAGTACAAGGATCCTCACACTCGGAAGGGCAGGAAGCGTGTATGCCACTTCAAAGGTCCTCACAGTCGGGAGAGCACGAAGAGTACAGATGGAAGAGCAGGAATGTGGAGTGGAGTTGAACAAATGTACAATGAGTGGAGAAATAACTACAGGAAGGCTACAATCTCAGAAGCATATTAAGCAGAGCGCGGCAGTTTAAAGTTGATAAAGCTGCTTGCATCGAGTGTGGAAAAGCGAAGATGGGCAAAGCTCTCGAGCTCTTATGGTTGTTCCGATGGTTAGAGTTCCTAAAATTCTCAACTAGTTGCATGTCGGTCTAAACTTGAGAATCACGACGACTTGGCAGAAGTTAAAGAAACAAACATTTTATTGGGTTGGTTGCCTGCAATCTGTTACGGCCAATTATTCTGAGTGTTTTGCAGCTAAATGATTGATGTTGAAGAGTCGTTGCCAGATGAAGCAGTACAATCTCTTTCAGCATACAGAATTAATTTTACATACACATATTTAGAAAAAACATACAGTGTCGGACAAAACTAAAGCATGGAAATTTACCATATTACCTGCATATAATTTATATACTGTTATAAAGTTAGTAGTTTATATAATATTATACAAAACTATACATTTTTTTGATGTTTCAAAAAAAAACTTAACAAATTAATTGATTTTACACTTAAATATGACTTATAGTCCAGTCGTAGCCGTTCGGACCAGTATTGCTATCATGACAATTTTACCACCTGCTCCAGAACATTTGCTAAATACAATTTTCTGCAACTGCAGAGTGGTTGTGGTTCGCGATGCGGATGCAGGAAAGCGTGCAATGCTCTTTAGCTTGTGGCCAATGTAATGGGCAAGCTTGTCTTCTCTACCATATTATATATCGACATTAACGAAGATGGAACTTTTGACCCCGAAATCATGGAAGAACTTGAAACAAATGTCGTTGAAGACGATAATGAAGCAAGTTTGAAATTTACCAGCAGCCGGAAGACGACGATGAAGAGGAAGATAATTAAAATTATAAATTGTAGTTTTGTACCCTTTATTCCATTTTTAGTTTAATAAAATAAATATGATGAATGATATTTTTAATAAATTTTTATTTTTATCATGTAAGAAGTTATTAATATTAATAAGGGTTAAATTTAAATATAATTCCTATATATTCATTAACAATTCCAATTTCATTGGTAGGTAAGTGTTGTTAAATAAATTAATACTGAATAAAAGTGGATAGGTTAGGAAAAATGATGAAATATAATATAATAGTTAATAAAATTGACAAATATTTATAATCATTGATTTATCGATGGTTCATCAACTATATATGGCGCGTTTTGATGTTGTTTTGTTGTTGTAACGATTATCTAATCCCGTTTGGGTGATAAATTCTAGATTCGTTGTCGTCAGGTCATCTAACGGCGCGTTTTGATCAGAGGCGTTGACCTGAAGTGATGCTGTGACCGCGCGTCTAAGCCCTCTATCTCGAAAACGTTCACCGTATGAAAAATTTTAAAAAAATTTGTAGAGAATTTTGTATTCTACAATATTGATAATAAATACCAATAGCAAAAACCCGGAAATGAGATATTTACAAAAAGCAAAAAACGATTTTGTGACCTTTGACTTAAAATTAAATGATTGCGTACACCCTACCATATGTAGGTTTGAGACAACTTTTAGGTTGTCAATATACAAGTG